TATTGATGTTAAAAATGCTAAACCAACTTCCTAGAGTTGTTGGGCTCTATGAGGTCAAAAACTCGCATATATTCCCAGCTAGACGGAAAAACATTTTATCATGGATACTGAATCCATCCTGCCCCTGGTCCTAACTCTAATCTAACCCTAGCCTACCATTCTGACCTAATCTAACCCAACCCATGCGGTCTTCGCGGCCACGCGTTCAAATTAAGAGCTGAAAACGTTTGTCATTTTATTGAGAAGTACTGTTGAGACTTAAGTTCCCCTATCGATGATGTTGATTGATCTGGAAGAATCATTTTTCCGATTTATTTGTGTAATGAAAGAAATAGTTAATAGGGTGTCTGTGGCAAATGGTTCATGGTAAAACTCTACAAAAGGCTGGATATTGAAAGTGAAACTTGAGATTGAAGTTTATTGAGATTTTCCTTTGAAGACTGAGGCGTTTTTTGACATTCATCCTTCGTCGATGATAGAATTGTTTAGAGAATCTAATTGAGAGAAAGCATCAAATGAGATGTTATGTCCTCCTCATTTGTTACGGATCGTACTGTTTTTTAATTGGATGTAAAATTTAATTTAAACTATTATTTTTCCTATATTAATAAAAAAATGTCACGGTTTAAAACGGTTTCAAGTTAAACGGGATTATCTTACACAGGCTCCGTCCGCATATCAATTTGCTCAAATGCCGGGTCATTTCATAAATCGCCTCCGACTCACACAAACCAATTTAACAGCCAATTCAGCTTCATCGTCCCGTTTCCGTTGAAAAAAAGGCTAAGTGAGATTAAACAGACTTGAATCCTTTCAGGGAAAGGCGTCTTGCCGACTGAATGCACAATACAACCTTCTTTTTTTTTAAAATTGTGTATTTGGTTGTTGTCGTAAACAGGCTGCACAGGACAACGGCAGAGCAGAAATAATTTAATTTCAGGTATGGGAATGAAATGATGTCTTGTTCGTTTAGACATACTCAGAGGCCAATTGAATTTATTCAGTTACTGCATTTGAACAAAACAGACATATTGAAAATGATTCGTTGTGGCTGAAACTTAAAACCTTTTAACATGGACATGCTTTTGGATTAAATACAACTTTTTTGGTTGAACATTTTCGCGTTATCGGGAAGTGCGCATAGGTTATGTTAGGTTAGGTTAGGAACGGATGGAATGGAAGGTTAGGCTACGTTATGTAGGTTAGGGTTAGGTCAGGTTAGGTTTCATATCCACGATTTTCTGTGAGGCGGGTAGGCTGGGAAATCTTTCTGATTTGAGAAGCCGTGAAATTATGTTTGTTTTCAAATACATAGTGATGTAATGTAGCAATAATGAACCGACTGTTCTGTCCAGTTATATAAGCTGAACTGCTTAAAGTGCAAATTGGCTGGAAGGAAGTGTAATTGGCATTGTGTACAAAATGATTGTTGAGAATTGTGTTTTAATCCTCAACCGTTTCAAGCCCTAAAAAACACAAAGCATCTTATTTTATTTGAAAAATTTTGAAGGGTGCGATTTTGGACTGTGCGGACGACGGGACTACATTGGTCCATACCAATGTTGGTTCTTTGGATTGGAATAAATGAAATATGGTCGTCTAAATCTCGAGAAATTTGCACAGTCCATTAAGTTTTTTTTCATTTCAATCAAATTTAAAGATTCCACACGAAACCATCGTCGATGTATGGTACTAAGTAGCATATACCGTCGTAGTTAGAGAAATACATAACTTGGTGGGTGTCCGTAAAGAATGGAATTAGTGAGGGTGAAGAACCTACGTAGTAAACGGTCTCAAGGTAGGACTTTAGGATGAGGTAGTACCTTCGGAGGAGGATGCCTTGGAAGTTTACAGTCCCATACCCGATCGTATGCTTGGGCAATTTCGAGAAAGTCAAACGGGCAGTACTGCTTCTTGTTTCTCGTTAAAAAATGTAGGTTCCTCCTTCCTTTCTAACCAAGACCCTGTTCTTCCTTCTTGAACTCTTTCTCAATCTAACTTGCTTTTTCCATTTTCATTCTTTTCTAACCAAAACCAAAGCTTTGGTTGTTGGAAGATTTAGCGGTCCCCACGGTATAAACTTGCATGCCAGTAGTTGGTAGAGTAGTCCGAAACGCCTGTTTATTTGTCGTCTCAGACGTGGTTGTTCCAGGTGAATCATTCAGATGAAGAGTATATGTTACATGGATGCTTTAAGGTATAAGTGGTAAGGAATCGACCCCTTTACGACTTCGCGCGACCAGATTGCTCTATTGTACTTCCGTCATTAGTTCTAGTTAAGCTTTTTACCAAATCCGAAAGCTTTTTTAACTGTCATGGCTTGTCTCTTCGCAACATTGGGGATGTGAGCCTTCGCACCCACAGGACATGTTCTGTTGTGTCTTCTTCCCGACTATATCTGGAATATTGTCCTCCGGAGTTTGCAGTGTGCAGTCAGCAGAACTACTACCATTCTAAGTTTAATCGTTCTGTTAATTTCTGTGATGGTCCTTTTATGAACTTTTCCTTCTGTCCTGGGGATCCCATTGAATCATTCTTCACCCCTTCGGCACAAAAGGGTTCAGGGTCGATAGGTGTCCTAAATGAACTTTCTTTGGACAGATTATGGATCCCCTCGGTGCCTCTTTGCCCGATTTGCCCTGGTACCCAAATAAGGGCTTTGTTGTTTCCCCAATATCTTTAAGGACCTAGATGTAATCATAAACAGTTCTGGTTTTTACTACAGATGAGGTAATTGATTTTATTGCCCTAACTACTACAGTGGAGAAGGACTCTCAGCCTTCGCACGACGGAGGAAGTGTTTTTCTGTTTCTTCCTGATAATAACTGCACGGTATATACATCTGCCTCCGGAGTTTACAGTGTCCAATCAGCAGAGCTATATCTAATACTAGTCATAAGTTCAATAGTTCTGCTGTTAGTTCCTGTGATTCCCATTGAACCATTCTTGACCTATTGTCTGACGGATCTGCGTTTCGGCACGAAAGGGTTCCAGGCCGATAGGTGTCCTGACAGAACTTTACTTGGAAGTTTATCGGGTGCCGCTCTGGTATGCCCTGGTACGCAAACAAGCGCTTTGCTGCTACAATATCCGAAAGGAACTTGATGCAATCATAAACACCTCTGGACATTATTACCGATAGGTAGTTGCTTTAGTCCTGGTTGCCCGAGTAAGTGTTCAATAGCCACAGTCTCCGTCTAAAGTACAGTGACATTTTGCCCAAAGCAATGAATATCAATTTCAGTCCTTGGTTTATTTCCATAAATACCTCTCCTTACCAATACTCTATCATACACCATATATAGTCGGCATTAACTAAGTTATCATGAAGTTCCTCCCGAAGCTTTAATTCGCATGGTCTGCGAATGCTGGCGTGGTTCTTGTTTCTCTCTCTATGAAGTTATGTAATGGTGGATTCAGTAGGACTTCCAGGGCTCCTCGTCGCCCCTCTGCCCTGTATGCCCTTGAGCAAAAAGGGTGATTTTTGTTTTTGATGAATGGCGGGAGGGTAGATAGTGATGTATATCTGATATGTAGAGGAGGTAAAGAATTAGTCCAAGTACAATGCCCTGCGCTACTCCCGCTTCCATAGAGCAACAGTTAATGTAATGTCTATTTCAGATGGAGCAATCTTAAGCGGATTCATCCATTTCTAAAAATGAGGGTCGGATAAATTTTTCTCGAGATTCACGATTCACCATTAGCCGATAGCCTCGGGTTTTGTCTGATAAATTTGCTTCGGTTATTCTACGCGTTTTACGAGAGAGCCGATTAAAGTAATAAACGGTCAAATCATCATCATCACTGATGTTCAAAAGGATTCCCATCCAAATAGAATAGATCTGAACGGATCCTCGGCACAAAAGAGACTTTTTTACGGGTCTAAAAGTAAATCAGAGATGTTAACGTTCACCGGTCAATTTATAAATTTACAAAACCTACTATCGGAACGAAAATTCGCCTTTATCCTATAGGTAAATTATTAATTAAGGTTAATTTTTCTTTTTGCTCACTGATTTGAATTTCACAAGGACTTTCCCTTCGTATATTTACACAAGTTGTTCGAAAACAACCCAAAATCATCAATAACTATTTTTGTGTAGAATCAAAAATAAGATTAATTTGGTAACCATTTCGATGTTTTCGAATATTCTGTCTCTCTTAAAACTCGATGACTGCTTGTATAATTGGCTTTTCGACCTTTATTTTTATTTACAAATATTTTCTTACTATTTGTAAATAAAAATTACTTAGAGACTACTTGGGTATAACCAATGTTATTCTCCTATTTCACTTCTTATACTTTCTTAAATTACTGCATAACTAGATCACAGTCAATTTAACGTTTCACAATAATTCAACGGCAAAGTAGGCAACAGAGCAGATCAATTATTTAAATCAAGCATCTTAATTTGTTATAATTTTTAATTGACGTCAATTGATAAGTGACTTACTAGGCCGAATTAATTCGACGGCGACAACCACATGTGCAAAACAAGAACAGAACAGGAAAAAATGTGGGAAAACATGTGCCCCGTCGGCCTCACAATACAAAATCTAAAGATAGCGCTAGCCAAACAGGACAAAGGTTTCTGCGCTGGGCATCTAAATTTAATCATTTTCTGACAACTCAAATTATAAACAAATCAATATTGATATTTCTATCAATTTATATGATAAGGCAAACTTTGGTCAGAAATAGTTATACTTGTTTTAGGCCACATTTGTGCTTAATGTCTTAATACATCGTGGCTTCGGTGGGATTTTAAATGTAAAAAAAAAAAATAATAATAATAGGAAAAGCCGTACAATCTGGATCTCAATGTTGTAATCTTCCAGATTTATAAAAAGTTAAAAGATTCTTATGTGGTAATAGAAGTAAGTTTTTAGTTTGAAAATAGTCTTGTTGCATTTTATGTTAATATTTATTTCACACCCACATTGTTTTACGCTCAATATCACAGGGTTAAAATTAATGAGATATAAAAATTCGAACTTACAGTTAGCCTGAACGGTTCTTATCATCGGGTCATTGAGGCGACTTGTGATAGCCCTGAAAAATAAAAAAAAAGCTCATCAAACAATGAACTGGTGGCCGTTGTAATCAATACAATAAATATTTACTTTATAAAAATGAATTGTACGCAGGGACAATGGATAAACAGTGTAGACAAATGATTAGTACAAATTATGGATTATGCAAATAAGGTCAAATAATTGTACATTTGAACAATTCTTGTCGTTGGAGACGTTTGTTGTGCTGGAAAAGAAGGAATTCATTTTTTTTGACGTTGTGAAATACACAGACGATAAATCAAACGGCAAAGGACCCTCTCGTACCTTCATCCAGATCAATTTAGCGCCGGCCCCGATTTCTTAACATGACCTCTTGTCGTCGAATGTCGAAATGCGTGCATAATTGTTGGCTATATTTATATCGATAATTTGAAGGACGTCATTACGAAGGGCGCAGCCATTCTGAGTAGAACAACAGATCAAACTTTCCAATTTTTATCTGAACGATCCAACTATAGTAAATAGACATGCGCTTGTCCTTTCCGGTCTGAATTATCAAGTTGTAGGGCTCTAGGCAATTGGTGTACAAATTGAAAGAGAGATGCGAAGCGATTCCGTGAGAATAGAAGCTGAAATCACGTAGAAAGGAACTTTCATTGACTTTACATGGATCACCGCGCGACCTGTTAACATCTGTATATACTGTGAGTGTAGCCAAGCGATGTCGTGCGATGCCGCGCAAGTAAAAGCTGAAATCTCAAAGAAAGGAGCCGTCATCGACTTTACAGGGATCAGCATTCTACCTTTTTCATACTACGAGCTATGCAGAGCAATTCCGCGCAATATAAGCTGAAATCGCAACGTAATGAACCGTCATCGACCTTAAATGGACTAGCGTGCTATCTGTATACACTGTGAGTGTAGCCAAGCGGTATCGTACGATAATGCGAAAGTAGAAGCTAAAATCGTAAAGAAAGGGGGCGTAATCGATTTTACATGAATCACCGTGCGACCTGTTAACCCTGCGACTGTAGCCAATCGATGTCGTGCGATACTGCGGAAGTACAAGTTGAATTCGCAAAGAAAGGAGGCGTCTTCGATTTTACATGGATCACCGTGCGACCTGTTAACCCTGGGAGTGTATGCAAACGATGTTGAGCAATGTAGTGCGATACCGCGCAAGTAGAAGCTGAAATCTCCAAGAAAGGAACCGTCATCGACTTTACAGAGATCAGTATTCTACCTTTTTCATACTACGAGCTATGCAGAGCAATTCCGCGCAAGTATAAGCTGAAATCGCAACGTAATGAACCGTCATCGACCTTAAATGGACTAGCGTGCTATCTGTATACACTGTGAGTGTAGCCAAGCGATGTCGTGCGATGCCGCGCAAGTAAAAGCTGAAATCTCAAAGAAAGGAGCCGTCATCGACTTTACAGGGATCAGCATTCTACCTTTTTCATACTACGAGCTATGAAGTGCGATTCCGCGCCAGTAAAAGCTGAAAACATAAAGAAAGAAGCCTTCATCAACTTTACATGGACTACAGTGCGATCTGTTTACACTGCGATCGATGCTGGGCGATTCCGCTTGATAAAGTTCCTGTGATTTATCTTGAAGTTGATTCATTCGACAATTCCTCTTTGTTTCGTGGCTGTTGGGAATTTTATATAAGGAAAATTTTGAATTTTATAGAAAATCGCCATATATGGGTCCCGGTGTGACATGAATTGACTGTGAATCACGGTGGCCCTGAGTTCTTAGAGTACTTACACATTTTGCTCCAGAACACCCAAATTTAGCAAATCCCCAAGAAAAAATCTTTTAGCCATTTCAACCGTCGTTTATATGGTTATAGTTTAACATATTTGTTAAGGCGAGTATATTTTAATTATGTAGAAGGTTTTATAGTGACTAAAATAAACCTGATCAATATACGGAATTTGAAATGTCGTCCTAAGCTAACTCCCTTCAAAACCGTTTCTAGAAAGACTGGAATTTTATGCCTTAAAAATGCAATAAAGACAGCCGGTGATAACTGTAAAGAAGCGAATTATACTTATTTAGCGTTTTTGTGAAAAAGTTAGTGTCACGAGCGGGATTCGAACCCACAACCTTCGGCTCAATATGCCGCTTGCACCCACCACTTGAACTGTCGTGACTTCGATCCACTCGGACACCAATTCCCCATCTCAACCTACAATTGTTAACACACCTTTGTTTCAATATTAAATTACAATAACAAAACTACAAAATTTTGCACGGAGGTTTTAAGAGATTCCGATCGTAACAAGGGTTCGAATAATTTTTTGAACTAAGAAAATGAAGTGTTATGATGTGTATAACATTAATGAGCTTGCAAATCGCCCCCCTACTGTTTACAGAAGGTTTTTAAATGTTTTTATAAAATAACTTCTAAGTACTGAAGAATCGGTGTTTTATGACGAATGCACTTTTCTCCAAAACTCATAATCATGTTTAAATAATTCTTTCATTATTTTGTAGGGCAATAATAGAAAACCAATCTTGTTAAGGGAGATTTTTCAAAAATATCCAGGAACGTAGAAATATTTTATTTTTATGCACAAAAAGTTGGTAAAGTTTTGCGTTTTACGTTTGTTGCCGAAAATGAACAATTCTCCTTTTCAACAAACCTATAAATACGAATTTATGGCTTACTTAAGAACAATAAAATAAAAAAATCGTTGGTTGTAATAGATCAAATAGATTTTGAGAAAACGACACCGAAAAATGGCAACCTTTTGAACTTTGAATAAGTGCAGAAACACGGTAGAATTTTGATTTTTTTAAAACTCTTTGACTGAAAGTACAGACTGTCATGAGAAAGAAATCCGCATCAAAGTTGAAATTCATCCAGTAGAAGTGGAATTAAAAAAGGAAACAGGAAATAAAACCATCTTTGCGTCTTAAAAAGGGTCACTACCTTTTTAATAAATTACAGTTAATTATTTATTCTTGATCTTCTGCTACATAATATTAACAAGATTATTTTTTATACCTGTATATTTAAAAAAAAACCTGAGATTAACTACCAAAACTTACTAAAATTAACTGGTACATCCTTGATACATTAAAAAAAATATATAACTATTTTTTACGAAGGTTTGCAACAGCAGAGGTCATATAAACCCTCAGGGGCCGGTATTTTTGAAAAAAACAAAAAAACATTTGTAAATATGTCGGGTTCGAATGCAGGGCCGCTGGATTCGAACCCGGGACCTTCAGTGATGAGCGCCGAGTCAACACTTAAACGTTGTGGCCACCGACGCCCCCCCCCCCAAAAAAAAAATATATATATAACTTTTGTTTTGTATTTTTGTGTATATCAGCCCTAAAAACTTCGATCATAATGTATTATGGATCTATTCAGCTAGATATGTTGTTACGGAGTTATTCTATAAATTGAACCATTCGGAGTGAATATTTCTTTATAAAATTATATTTTAATTTAAAGTTTTTTGTTTTCTTATAATGGCGTCATGTCTATGACATTAGCCAAGAGAGAGTGTTGATGAGAGGGTGAGAAATTCCAAAATTCCAGGGGAGGCGTTGGGAATCGAACTTACGACCTAGTATTCTACAGGTCTGCTGCGTTAATCACTCGTCTACCCCCATTCTCCCGATTTAAATTAACGAATTATACTAAAGTAATAAACTGATTTAAAGTTGGCCAGCTCAATGTGAAGAAGGGTATTCGGATTTTTTTCATTTCCAGATGAATAAGACAAAAAGCCCTGATTAAGCCTGGAGGTCCATCCCAAGCTGACGGATTTATACCGTCCACCTCATCGTTTTAATGAAGGGGGGAAAAGGCGTATTAGAAAAGGGCCGGACCCCTAATTAATTGAAAATATTCCGCGGCTAATTGCCAATACTGAGTGAGAAAACAAGGCGAGATGAAAAATAACCCTAGGCGTTACGCACCTTTACTTTAATTAAAGGAGATAGAGTTAATTAACGAGCCTGCGTCAAACCGGCGAATGATAAGCACGTCTCATTGGCAAAATCGTGTTTCACCGGATACCTTTTATATAAAAAAAGCCAATGAAGGTAGGTGGAATCATAGAAGAAACAATATGAAATTACCTACTGCCAAATTTAAAAAAAAAAATTAAAAAAGGGTTGGTATAGTTACAACGACAGTCCGTTTTGATTCTTTAATCATGAGTTCACTTCGTCTGGCACCTCTGAAGTTCATTTTTTTATGGATCCATTCTGAGAACGAAGAGTCTATGTTTGATCATAAACCAGTAGGTCTGCTTGTTCATTACCAAAAATTCCATTGTGCCCTGGGACCTAAGGTTGTATTGTTTTCATACGTTTTGGATGTGACCTTTTTATGTGCTTGACCCTTGCCTCTTGGGTCAGTTTGGATGTCTGATCGTATGAGGATTTTTTGTCAGTGTAACCTCTTTTAAGAGTTTCTATGATTCAAGTTTTGATAGCATTTAAGCTTGACCGAGGTGTAGTTCCCTAATGAGCTTGATTGCGTTCATTCTCTGCTTGATACCCCGCACACAGGATATTGCTAGGCTGTTATGATTTACCAGGTTTTCTTGGATTTACTTATACTTATTTTATAAGTCCAATTGGATGTGCTAATGTTTTTGGAGCCACTTGGATGTCTGATCTTGTCAGTTTTAAGACATCCGATGGCATAAGCATAAGTATATGTAATTCAACTTGAAAGATCGAAGTGTATTTCGCTAATGAGTTTGATTACTCGCATTTTACTTGACTTGGTTTTGTGGCAAGATGTAAACCATATACACTGGGTAAAGTTAACGGACGTAGAGCGGGATCAAGCCGCTGAGGTGTACATGGGACGACCTCCCATCTCACTCAGACCTTAACAGCTATTTGATTTGGATATTTGATTTTCTTCTGATTTCTTCTTTCACATTGTAGTCTTTTCAACCTTTATAGAATGTTGCGAATGATGTTCTCAGGGCAACGTTTCTATTTCAAGAATGTCCCCATACTATTTGTCTGTGGAGTCTTTATGAGCTTTGCCTA